CTCTTCATTTTCCTCCTCCCCTAGCCCCTGGTAACCACAATTCTACTTCCTATTTCTATGAATTTCACTACTGTAGGTAGCTCATATAAGAATCATACAGTGTTTGTCTTTTTGTGACTGACTTATTTCACTTCACATAATGTCCTCAAGATTAATCCATGCTGTATGTAGCATGTGTCAGAATTTCCTTTTTATGGCTGAATAATATTTCATTGTGTATATAAAACCACATTTTATTTATCTATTCATCTGTTGAAGGACACAGGGTTGCTTCCACCATTTGACTATTGTGATTAATGCTGCCGTGAGCATGAGTGTTTTTTAAGAACTTGTATGCTAGTTAGTTTTCCCACTATTAAGCATTCCCAGACTTATTTCTCTAGTATAAGTGTGATGAGAAGAGAATTAGACAAGGAGTTACTAGGTCTGATTTCTGTTTCAAGCTTTGCTGCTAAATAGTTTTGTGATCTTGCTGAAGTTGCTTAAAGTATCATATTCTCTGGCCTGTTTCTTGTCATATTGAAAATTTGTAAGTTTCTAAGGTCTTCTAGAGCCCCAATATTCTGGTATATTGTTTCTTTTTTTTTTCTTTGTATTTTATCAGAATGTTTTGAGGATATTGGGGCAGACTGTGTACTGAATCCTCTTGTCAAAATGTGTTTGTGTTTTCTTTTTAAAGAACAAAAACCTTTGCCTTTTAAACCACTGACCCTCCAACTTTTTGTGGCAACAGGAACTTTTTTTTTTTGCACTGAAAAATATGTTTATTATAATTCTTCCTTTTGTATAGTAAAACAGAAATATGAAGTAATATGTTATGTTGTGCCACATATTTTCCATTTGTCCCTTTATGTTCACTCTTTACCCTTTCCCAGCCTGCTTTATGCCCCAGGAAGCTGACTTCCATGGACTACACACTATAGGCTCCATTCCCTCTATTGAGTAGGGTTTAGCCAGTGACAGAAGATGGTAGGAGAGTGAGTTCTGTGTGTATATATTTTTGGCTTTTTCCTTGTAAGTTGCAACAGTTCCATTCCTCTGCCGAAGGCCACACATCCCTTGTTAGGCAGCTCTCTCCCAAAGCTGTAGCTACAACTGACTGTGAGTTCTGGTAACTCATATCTTCCCTGGCCCATTAAGGCCTTGTGATTTCCTCCTGTTCTTGTCCAGGATACTTCACTGTCACTGTCCACGATGTTTGTAAACAGACGCTTTATTAAATTCTCCCCGATTACACCATCCTTGGCAGTTTCTATCCTTTAAAACTTTTAAATCTCAGATAAATTATGAGTGAATTGCTGTATTTCTAATAATAAGTTTTTTAGATTAGTTTTTTTTTAATTGTGGTAAAATATGCATAACAAAATTTGCAATTCTAATCACTTTTAAGTGTACCATTCAATGGCATTAAATACATCCACATTTTTGTACAGCCATTGCCACTATCCATTTCCAAAACTTTTTCATCAAAGAGAAGATCTCTCTGTTAAACAACTTCTTATTCCCTCCTTTATCTAGCCCCTGCTAACCTCTATTCTATTTTCTATCTTTATGAATTTGCCTAATCTAGATACCTCCTATAAATGGAATCATACAATTTTGTCCTTTTGTGTCTCGCTATTTCACTGAGCATGTCTTCAAGCTTCACCCATGTTGTAGAATATATCAGAATTTCATTCCTTTTTAAGGCTGAATAATATTCCATTGTATGGACCCACCACATTTTGTGTATCCATTTTTTTGCTGATGAACATTTGAGCTGTTCCTACCTTTTGGCTATTGTGAGTAAATGCTGCTATGAACACTGGTATACAAGTATTTGCTTGACTCCCTGCTTTCCGTTCTTTTGGATCTGTATGTAGGAGTAGAATTTCTAGACAGTATGGTAGTTCTGTGTTTAACTGTTTTCCATAGCAACTACACTATTTTACATTTCTAGCTATGCCCAAAGATCCAGTGTCTCCACATTTTCTCCAACACTTGTTATTTTCTGGATTTTTTTTTTCTGATAATAGCCAACCTAATGGGTGTAAAGTAGAATCTCATTGTGTTGATTTGCATTTCCCTAATCATAATGTTGAGCATTTTGTCATGTGCTTATTGACTGTATATCTTCCTCGGAGATAGATATGTCTATTTAAGTCCTTTGCCCATTTTTTGAATTGTGTTGTTTGGTTTTTTTTTTTAAATTTTGTTGTACTAGTTAGTTTTTAAATCAAAACACAAAGTTTCTAAGAAAAGGTAATGATTCTATGGATTCGAAATGCTATAGGTTAGAAGGAACAAAAATGTCCATTTTCTTGACTAGAATAGCAAAGATAGATAATAGATTAGTTTATGATGAGTCTTACTTGGCATTTGAATTAAATGTTTGCATTAAAAAGAAGATATTTAGGTGTTATGTATTTATGTAATATATTAGTGAAATTTATATTATATAATACAGTTTTTATTGAATTATCACTATCAGCAGCATCCACTTTTATTGTCTTCAAAAAATCCCAAATTATTTGTAACTTACTGATGTTAGGCACTGTGGTCAGGTTTTTACAAGCATTTTCTCATTTAATCCTCTTCATAGTAATTTGCAGTGTATTTTATGGCAGCACAAAATTGCCAAGACAGGAATCACAGGTCTGACTAACTTCAAAATGAATGGCCGATAAGAGGTCAAGTTAGTACATTTAGAATTAACTAGATTACCTTGAGTAAGACATTTTATACAACAATAATACAAACATCTACGTGTTCTGGAGAACTTTAATTTGTGATGTTTTAATTTTGGCTTTAATTAAATCCTAAAGTTTAAAACAATATCTTCATGTAAGAAGGGAAAATCTTTTTATAAAAAGTATCTGGGTAAATAGAAGTTGGAATACAGATTAAAAAGGCAGGAAAATATCCTGTGAAATATTTAATATTGCTGTCAACCTAGCAGGTTTGTGTCTGGAGAGTACATAAATATAGATTGATTGTTATAAAATAGTATCTATAAAGAGATCTTGCTATGAATGCTAAAAAAAAATTCCACTGAAATTATCTATGTAGAAAGAGACTTCCTTTGGCAGAAATATATTGGTCTTATAGGTTGGCCCAAAGTACTAAGCAATTCTTTGCTGTTGAAGGAAACTCTGAGTAACATGTCATGGACCCAGAGTGGAGTTCTGACATGGAATTATGATGTTTTAATACAGGTAGGTACCCCATTTTCCTTGTCTAGAAAATGAATATAGTGCAAATGAGAGAGTACTCATTGGAGCACTTATAAAATACAGAGTTCTCTGCAAATGCAAGGTGACATTCTTATTAAATATTGATTCCTTCATTCTGTCTTCACATATCATTTCTATATCACAGTAGAATTTTGAGGTTTTAATTTAATAGGAAAGCCTATAAAGTATTCTAATTGTGTTCTGCAGTGCATATAATGCATCATTGTTGATCAGTATTTTTTATTTTTCTTGTTCTTTAAAAGAATTTACCCTTTCTAGGGTTATTCTGAACCTTTTTTAGAGTTAGGCTAAGTCAGCCAGAACTTTAGCTATACATTTCCATGTTAAAGCTTTATGGACAAAACAAATAGGCTTAGTAATGAATGAATTAGCTTATTAACAGATTACAAATGAGGATATGGTTGCAGGTTTACATTCTATTGTATGATTAGATTAACTCAACCTAATAACAGCTTTTTAAATGGTTGCGTGTCATTAAAAAAGAATTTTACATGGTATATACCACATGTATACGATATATGTCATAATAGATACAGCATGTATAAAGAAGACTACGTGAGACATATATGTACACTTTAAAGAATAATTATAAAAGTGAACTGTGTGGGTAACCATTACCCAGGCCGAGAAAGCATTTCCATCACCCCAGATGTCTCCCAGGTACCTCTTTCTGATCACAGACCTCTTCATCTCAGGAGATAAATTGCTATCTGGAATTTTGATGATAATCATGATTATGTGTATTACTAAAAAATTAGTCTTGCTTGTCTTTGAACTTTATATAGATGAACTCTAACCATGTATATTCTTTTATGATTTGCTTCTTCACACAACATTTTTCTTGTGAGGCTTCTTATATGTTACTTGTAAAGCAATTTTTAGAGATGTGACTATTCCTAAAATTAATTTCATAATTCTCTATCTTCTTTTTCAAAAACCGTTTTATTTTGAAGTAGAAAATGTATAAAAAATAGAAGCTCGCTTTAATGAATAATTATAAAGTGAATGCCTGTTTACTATTATCCAGATTAGGGCATTGCTGGCCCCTCAGACCACCAGTACTCCTGTCTGTTATGTTCCTATCACAGTTCTGTCTCTTCGGAGGTAATCCCTTTATGACTTTTATGTTTATCAATTTCTTGATTTCCTTTATTTTTACATCCCTAAACAATATGGTTTAATACTGTCTTTTTGAATGTCATAAAACTGGAATACAAATGAATTTTTTCTTTTATGTCTTTATTCATTTTATTATTTTTCAATTGTATTATTATTTGTAAGATTTATCCTTGTGTATAGTGTAGTTCATTTTTTGTTACCATACAGTATTACATTATAAGAATTACTATTATCATTTTTATCCATTTAACTATTGATAGTCATTTGGGTTGTTACTAGTTTTTGATTATTACAAACAATGTTGCCATGAACACTCCTGTACATATCTTTTAGAATGTTTTAATTTTTCTACAGTAAAATTGCAGTGTTACAGGTATTCATGTCTTTATCAAGATAATGTCAAACTTTTCTAAAACAATCAATTTACACTCCCGATATCAAGTATGAGAGTTGTCATTGCTCCACATTTTTCCAATATAGTATTGTTGGACTTTAAAATTTTATCAGTCCGTAAGGTGTGAAATGGTATTCAGTGCAGATTTTAATTGTATTATATTGAGAATACTGTTGAGCATCTTTTCATATATTTAATGGCCATCTTGATTTCTCTTTTGCCCATTTTTTCTTTTGATTTTTTTTCTTTTTTAGGAACTCAGTATAGTTTGGCTGTTAGTCCTTTGATGGTTATGTGAGTAGCAACTGTTTTGTCCCTCTCTGAATTTAACTTTTCACTTTCTTTGTACTGTTTTTTGATGTCTTTTACAATTGTTTAGGGATGTAAAAATAAAGGAAACCAAGAAACTGATTATCATAAAAATCATAAAGAGATTACCTCTAAAGAGACAGAATTGTGATAGGAACATAACACATGGGAGTGCTGGTGGTCTGAGGGACCAGCAGTGCCCTGATCTGGATAATGAATAAACAGGCTCTCACTTTCTATTCATTAAAGTGAGCGTCTGTTTTTTACAATGCCTTGTATTTTTTTTACGGTTGCTTTTCTTATAGTTATCAGTTTTATGTTAAATGTTTTCTATATGTTGTTTTAAAAAACATTTTCCTACTCTGATGTAGTAAAGATATTCTATCTCATCTAAAAGCTTTACATTTTTTCTTTTATACTGAAGTGTTTAATCTACATACAATTGATATTTGTGTATTGTGTGATTATTCTTTTCTTAATGCATACTTGATGTCTCAGCTCCACTTACTGAGAAGTCTTACATTTCCTACTGATTTGCTATCCTACCTCTGTGAAACATGAGGTATCTGTATTTATGTGGTTCTGTTTTGGGGCTTTTTAATTTTTTCATTGTTCAATTTGTATCTCTGTGCCAATATCACATTGTTGTATTTGTAATCCGTTTTAGTGTTAGCGCATGTTCTCCTACTTTTTTCCCCCTCTCTTTTTTCAAGTATATCTTGGCTTTTACTTGGCCTTTACTACTTTTGTATTAATCTTAGGGTGTTTGTCAAGGTCCACTAAAATCCCATTGGGATTTTCATTGGGATTGCATTGATTTTGTTGTTTAGTTTGGGGAGATTTGCCAGTTTTAAAAAATTTATTTTTCAGTTCATTAACATGATATATCTCTACATTTATTTGGGTCTTTTTTGAAGAAGTCTTTTTTAATGGAGTCTTGTAATTTTTTTCTATAAAATTTTGCACACCTTTTATTAGACTTATTCCTAGGTCTTTTATATTTCTTCTTTTTATTTCTTTCCTTCTACTTTTATTTTGTTTTTATTTTAATTGTTGAGACAGATACTTAATGTATTTTTTTCTAGTAAATGTATTCAAAACTATTTTAAATAGTACATCCCACAAGTATTTTTAAAAAGCAACTATATTGAGAGTTACTGAAGTACAGTTTACTTACAATAAAATTTACTCTTTTTTGTGTATGCTAAGTTTTGGTAAACACAGTCATGTATTCATCACAATAATGAAGATATAGAGCAGTTCTTTTGCCCCCAGAAATTGCCTTATGCCCCTTTGTAGTCAAACCTCTTCCCCTCACCCCCAATCCCTGACAACCATCATTCCGTTTTCTGTCGCTGTGCTTTTGCCTTTCCTACAATGTCAGATGAGTGGAATCCTACAGTAAATAATCTGGCTTTTAAAAACTGCTTCAAAATTATCATATAGTTAAATTAATTTTTTTATTCTTTTGTTGTACAGCTCTATGAAATTTAATACACAAATTTTGATAATATAGATTTAGTTTACTACCACCATGATCTGGATACAGAGAAGTTCCCAAATGGCCCCCTCCTGCTTTCCCTTTATAGATGCACCCTCCTCTGCTATTCCTTGGCAACCACTGATAAGTTCTCCATCACTAATTTTTTCTCTTTGAGAATGTGTATAAATGGAATCATACAGTATGTAACTTTTGAGACCGGCTTCTTTCATTCTGTATATTTCGAGATTCATCTAAGATACTGCATGTTTCAAGAGTTCATTCCTTTTTTTATTGTGGTTGTATTTCGTTTTATGGGTATGCCACAGTTTGTTTATCCATTCAGCTGTTGAAAGACATAGTTTTTGGCAATTAGAAATAGAGCTTCTGTAAACATTCATGTATAGGTTTTATGTGAACATAAGTTTTCATTTCTCTAAGGGAAATAGGAATGGATTGTTGGGTCATAGGGTAAATACATGTTAAGCTCTATGAGAAAATGTCAAACTGTTTTCAAGAGTGACTGTACCATTTTTCATTTCCACCAGCAATGTCTGAAAGTTTCACTTGTTTGCATTCTTGCTGCACTTAGTATTGTCAGTAATTTTTCTTTTAGCCAATTACATGTGTAGTGGTATCATTGTGGTTTTAATTTGCATTTTGCCGATGGCTAATGATGTTGAACACCCTTTTATGTGCTTATTTGTTTATGAATAGAACTGCTGTGAACATTCATTTACAGTTTTTTTGTGTGAACATGTTTTCATTTCTCTAGGGTAATTACCTGAAATTCAGATAAAATTTTGCATAAATTGCTAAAGACCAACTTGAGGTGGTATAGAATCTCTAGAAAGCATAGACAGAAGGAGAGTTCACATCCACTCACAGGCTTTTCTCAATGGATATCAATGAGAAGCTCACCAACAAGACTGAGAAAAGGACAGGAGACAGAGAAAGCCCCTCTTGAGGATTAAGCCCATAGTAGGAGCATCCACCACAATAAGAAAAGCAAAAAGCTCATTTCAGACCTTTTCCCCTAAATAACAAAACCTTTAAGCTTGTCACCTTAGAGTACAGAGGAAAATCCATTGAATTGAGAGGAGGGGAAAAGAAAAGTCTCAATCCCTGGGGGGATGGGCAGAAAACTCAAAAACTCAGATCATCAGATACACCTGAGGACAGACAGAGTCACTGAGAAAGCCCAATGCACAGCTCCAGTGACACAGGTTTCTGCTGAAAATTGTGGATATATCAGGACAGTAGAGAACCCATCACTATAAGGCTAGCATGCACCAACTAACAAACACTCAGAAGAAAAATGACATATTACATACAAAAGAACAAAGATAAAAATAACAGCAAACTTCTCAGAAATGATGAAAGCCAATTTCTGTTGCTTTTCCTTAATTCCTGAATTTCCAATTTTCCCTCTAGTCTTGTCTCTCCCACTTAATGCATTTAATAGCCCTAGATGAAGAGCTTTTAAAAAGAACAATAGTTCATTTTTTTAAAATATATATATATCTAAAGAACTTTTAGTAGTTTTTTTAGAGCAGGTCTTTGGGCAAAGAATTCAGAAATATCATGTTTTGCCACTACAGATTTTATTTAAATACAGATTTTATTTAAATCTTATGAAGGATGCTGGATATATTTGCTTTAGCAGGCATTTGGCTTAATATGGTACAGGCCACAAATTCTGACCCACCTTTTATGGGTCATAGTTCCACTGCCAGTTTAGTGTTGATAGCCGTTGAAGTACTATACAGATTTGTCCCTTGTGGCCAGCCTTGGACATGGGTGCTGACTACCCGGTATTTTAGTTCACACACCCTTTGTTATGCTGTCTAGGGTAAGATCCATATGTGTGCATCTTGGAGATAAGCTCAGGAGATCATACTTAGCACCTTGTGGTATCACTTTATTGAGATCCTGTTCCTTGTGATATCCCCAACTTCCTTGCTCCCAAAGACCTCTCTTTTTTTGAAAAAATTCCCTACTCTGTCACATAATTTGACTTCATCAGCCTCCTGGGTCTCATGACCAGAGAGGATGGAAAAATAAGCAAAAGTGATCCCTCCAGTGGTCTCAGAGCACAGTTCCTCTGGTCAGATAATTTTCCTTTCTGATTATAGATGCTTTCCTAGCTGCTGGTTCCTCTGTACTACTATAAGAGTGCTTTGTTGCTGGGGTGGGTGAGAGAAAATGAAACACACACACAAATCCAGGGAAGTTCTCTACTCTTACTCATAGAAACACCTTTTCCACTCATCAGACCAGAAATAAATAGCTCTTTTGGGAGATCTTTCTGTCTGTATACAGTATACACTTTTGATGTCAGGCTAACTTTGAATTTTGGAAGGAGAGACCAGGGGAAAAAATTGCAAAACTCACTGCCACTTTAGTGAGATCTGTTTTTTTCCATTCTGCCTGCTAATATTTACTTTTCAGAAGCCTCAGATAGCTACTTCATCCAGGGCTTTTAAATGCATTCAGTGGTAGAGATAGGAAGGAGTATGTTTAACTTCATTTTAACTGGGACCAGAACCTCTGTAGTCAAGTTTTAAATATTTTCATTATGAATAATTGCAAACATACACAAAACTTGCACGTACCCATCACCTAGCTTCACCATTTATTAACATTTGGCCAATATTATTTCATCTGTAATTCCTCACTCACACTGTCGCTTGACTTTTAAATGTAAAACCCAGATATCATTTCATTTTATATGGTCATTGCTATAAACATCTGTGTGACGTTTTTTTTGTGTGGACGTAAGTTTTCAATTCCTTTGGATGAATACCAAGAAGTGCAATTGCTGAATCATATGGTAAGAGTGCTTTTGGTTTTGAAAGAAACCACCAAACTGTCTTCCAAAGTGGCTGTACTATTATGCATTTCTCTCAACAACGAGAGTACCTTTGGCTCCACATCCTCTTTGGCATTTAGTGTTGTCAGTGTTTTAGATTTTGGCCATTATAATAAGTGTGTATTGGTATCTTGTTTTAATTTGCATTTCACTGATGATATATGATGTAGAGCATCTTTTCATGGCTTATGAACCATCGATGTATCTATCTTTGGTGAGGTGTCAATTTCATTGAATTTTAGGCTAGGTTTTTGTGTTCTTTTAAATGCTGGAAGTTTAGCTTTTTAAAAAAGAAACCACATATTTCCATCTACTAATTCTTTTTCTTATCTCCATTAAGGAAATCTTTTAGTCCCTGTTTAAATTTTTTTTCATTTTCTGCCAATTAACACCAGTATTTTAATGTTTTGACATAAATTTTTTTTATTCATGCAGGCTATTTAATTGTGTTATGTATAAATAGATATTATATTGCTTACCTTTATTGTCCTTTCTTGTTAAAAGGTAACAAAACAGGAATTACAAATTACTAGAAAGATGAATCTATAGGAGTTAATCAAGAGATTAAAGTATTTGGAGAGGATAATGAAATCTGACAAGTGCTTTCTCACATTGTCTTATAAGGTGATAGCA